TGAGGAACTTTATCAAAAGCTTTCTGGAAGTCAAGGTAAATAATATCTATTGGATCCCCCTTGTCCACATGTTTGTTCACCCCCTCAAAGAACACTAACAGGTTAGTGAGACAAGATCTTCCCTTACAGAAACCGTGCTGAGTCTGCCTCAATAGGTTTTGTTCATCTATGTGCCTACTAATTCTTTCCTTAATAATGGTTTCCACCAATTTACCCGGTATCGACGTCAGACTGACTGGCCTGTAATTTCCCGGATCTCCTCTGGAACCCTTTTTAAAGATGGGAGTGACATTAGCTACCTTCCAATCCTCAGGAATGGAGGCAGATTTTAAGGAAAGATTACATATCTTTGTCAGGAGATCTACAAGTTCACATTTGAGTTCTTTCAGAACTCTCGGATGTATGCCATCTGGGCCTGGTGATTTTTCAGTTTTTAAGTTGTCTATCAGTTTTAGGACCTCCTCTCTCGTCACCTCAATCTGACTCAGGTCTTTCAACACCCCTCCTGAAATCAGTGGTTCTGGAGTGGGCAAGCACTTCTCATCTTCCACAGTGAAGACGGAGGCAAAAAATGCATTTAGCTTCTCAGCCATTTCCCTATCATCCTTCAATACTCCTTTTACCCCTTGGTCGTCCAAGGGCCCCACTGCCTCCCTGGCTGGTTTCCTGTTTCTAATGTATTTGAAGAAAGTTTTATTGTTGGTTTTTACGTTTTTTGCTATATGCTCCTCATATTCCCTTTTTGCCTGCCTGACCTCAGACTTGCATTTTATTTGCCATAGCCTGTGTTCCGTTTTATCAGCCTCACTGTGACTAGCTTTCCACTGCTTAAAGGAATTCTTTTTACTTTTTACAGCCTCCATTACTCTGTTTGTTAACCATGCAGGCTTTTTCCTATACCTTTTTGTGCCTTTCCTAACCTGCGGAATATATATTTTTTGAGCTTCTAGGATCGTAGTTTTAAATAGATCCCAAGCTTCCCCAATTGTTTTGACCCTTTCTACTTTTCCTTTCAGTTTCCTCCCCACGTGTCCCCTCATATCAGAGAAATTACCCCTTTTAAAGTTAAAAATGGTTGTGTGAGTCTTTTTGGCCAATTCTCTATTTGTACAAATGATGAACTCAACAACATTATGATCACTGTTTCCAAGCGGTGCAATCACTTTTACATCTCTCACCAGGTCTTGAGTGTTACTTAGGACCAAATCAAGGATCACCTCTCCCCTGGTAGGTTCCGTGACCATCTGCTCCATAGCACCAAACTGGTTTTCTAGGGGGGTGATACGGTTGCCATTCTCTAGGTGAGGCCTGGAGATCTCCCAGAGTTACAACCGATGTTCAGACTACAAAGATCAGCCCTCCTGGGAAAAAAGGTCTGCTTTGGGAGGTGGACTCTCAGGCAGTGTACAGCACTGAGGTATCTCTCCTCTCCAAGCCCTGCCCTCTCCAGGCTCCACCCCCAAATCTCCAGGAATTTCCCAACCCAGAGTTGGCAACCCTATTTGTTAACTTCTGGTTTCAACTTGAGTTGTCGTTGTGTTTTAAAAGCCGCAAGTTGCTTCACTGTCAATGTTCAGACGTTTGTCCCATTAGGGAGACCGTAGTCTGCTGTTGGGCCGACTAGGCATCTCAGGACTGAAAGGAAAAGGGCAGAGCAGGAGGAAGGGGAAAGGGTCAGGAGAGAGGAGAGCAGGGGCTGTAAGAAAAAAAGGAAGGCTAAAGCCTTGTGTTAAGAATCTGCCCTTGTATTGTCTCTTCACCTGCAACCAGCTACACAACAGTCATCATATAATGTATTCAGGGGAGAAAGAAAGAAAAGGGGAGTGTTTGAGTACTCATCAAAAGATGCCTTCCCCCATAACCATAGAGGAGGAGGAACAAAAGAGTATCCTCTACAACTACGGTTTCCGGGTCCCTCCTGACACTGGTGGGAAGCAGGAGGAACTCACCTGGAGTGGGAGGGAGGCCTAGGCCCTGTCACTGGCAACAAAATGATGTCACTTCCAGGTCTGTAGCTACGGTGGGGCTTTTGGGGGCTCTGCCCCCTTTCTTAAAGGCAGAGCCCCACAAGAATTTCTCCTGTATATGCTTCTTTCACTCTTTTTAAAACATTTTTAAAGGTGTGCACTCCTTTAAGCAGTGTGGGGTGCTGTAGTTGACTAATCCCCACACTGGGAAAACAGGTTGGAGTAGGTGACCTCTAGGATACCTTCTGTGTCAAGAAACTGGTCTCTTTTAAGAGCGTTTTCCTGCTTAAGTGTTAGCTTTCTTGACTATAGAAGTCATCAGCCCCACCTGCCAGCTTGTAATCAGAATTGTTGCTTAGGCTGGCGAAGTGATTAACTTGTAGCAGCTGAGGACTGTCATCTACAGTGGTTGACAGCTTGCAGTTTAGAGATCTATCCTGGTAACAGTTTTCTTTTGGCTAAAGGGTTAATAGGCTAAGGGTGATTGCTAGCCTAAGAATACCTATGTAGAATAGACAGCTTGAGAAGACTCAGAGAGAGAAGAGGAGTGAGTCATAATCCTCAGAATTCTGTTTTTTTTCTTTTTGCACTGAGAACTTCAGCCCCACCTGAAAAAAAATTGCCCACAAGCCACAAAATCCTGTCTATGGGCCTCACTTCCAGTCTGCGCTAGAAGTGATGCCAGTGTGATGTGGCGATAGGGTTGCCAAGTTGCGACGGGGGATCGTGTGTCTTTGCAGAATCCGTGATGTGGGGACAGCGAGACGCGTTGCACCTGCCGTTGCCAGGACATGACGCTACGTGTCGCTCTGGCAATGGGGCTCCAAACAGCCCTGTTGCCAGAGCGACACGTAGCGTCATGTCCTGGTGACAGCGGTGCAACGCATCTTGCCGTCCCCGCAGCACAGATTCTGCAAAGACCTGCGGATCCCCCGCTGCGATTTGGTGAGATTTGGGAGCCCTATGTGGCGACAAAAAAGGCTAATGCGATCTCCATAAGAACATAAGAGAACATAAGAGATGCCAATGTTGGATCAGGCCAAAGGACCATCCAGTCCAACACTCTGTATCACACAGTGGCCAGAAATACCAGTGCCATCAGGAGGTCCACCAGTGGGGCCAGGACATTAGAAGCCCTCCCACTGTTGACCCCCCCAAGCACCAAGATGTCACAGAGCATCACTTGCCCCAGAGCCCCTATTTATACCTTGTGGCTAATAGCCACTGATGGACCTCTGCTCCATCAGTGGGCACAGAGGAGAGCGACGAGGATGGTCGGGGGCCTGGAGACCAAGAAGCTCTGTGAAGAAAGGCTGAGGGACTGGGGAATGTTCAGTTTGGAGAAGAGGAGGGCAGGAGAGTACCGGCTGGATCTTAGGAAAGACTTTTTGACAAGTCAGAGTTGTGCAACAGTGGAATCAGCTGCCCCAGGAGGTGGTGTGCGCCCCTTTCCTGGCAGTCTTTAAGCAGCAGCAGGACAAACCCTTGTCAGGGATGCTCTAGGCTGATCCCGCACTGAGCAGGGGGTTGGACCAGATGGCCCGCAGGGCCTCTTCTAACTAACTTTTAACTCTATCATTCTATGATGTCACCATGTCACTGGCATTGTGGCCACGCTCTGGTATTCGAGGGGAAGGAACTCTACGGTAAAAATGGCTTCCACCATAAAGTTTTTGCTCAAATACCAAGGTGTCACTGCGATGCCGGTGATGTGATGTCACTTCCAGTCAGGGCTGCCAACCTCCAGGTCATGGCTGGAGATCCAGGATTTCAACTGATCTCCAGATCAACTCCCTTGGAGAAAACGGCCACCTTTGGAAGTTGGACTCTCTGGCATTATACGCCACTGAAGTCCCTCCCCTCCCCGAATCCCGCCCTTCCCAGGCTCCACCCCCAAATATCCAGGCATCTGGCAACCATACTACTTGTACATCGCCACATCACAGCCTAGGCCTACCTCCCCGATGGGAGCCCCCCACCACCCAGCCGATCAAATTTGCAGATGACACGAAGCTGGGTGGGATTGCTAATTCTGAAGAAGACCAAGTCAGGATTCAAAATGATCTAGATAGGCTGGACAAATGGGCTGAGACAAATAAAATGAATTTCAATAGAGATAAGTGCAAAGTCTTACACTTACGAACAAAAAATCAAAGGCACAGATATAGAATGGGAGGGACTTGGCTTGACAGCAGCACGTGTGAAAGGGATCTGGGTGTTCTGGTTGATCACAAGCTAAACATGAGCCTGTGGTGCGATGTGACTGCGAAGAAAGCTAATGCAATCTTAGGATGTATTAAGAGAAGCATTCTGTCCAGATCACGGGAGGTGGTAGTTCCACTCTATTCTGCTATGGTCAGGCCTCACCTGGAGTCCTGTGTCCAGTTTTGGGCACCACGTTTTAGGAAGGATGTTGCGAAGCTCGAGCGTGTCCAGAAGAGGGCAACCAGGATGGTGAGGGGGTTGGAATCAAAGTCTTATGAGGAAAGGCTGAAAGAGTTGGGTATGTTTAGCCTGGGAAAGAGAAGACTTAGAGGGGACATGACTGCAGTCCTCAAGTATTTGAAGGGCTGTCATGTAGAAGATGGAGCAGATCTATTCTCTCTTGCTCCAGATTGCAAGACTAGATCTAATGGGTGGAAATTACAAGGGAGTCGATACCGGCTCAATATCAGGAGAAACCTCCTAACTGTAAGAGCGGTGGAGCAGTGGAACAGTCTGCCTCCGGAGGTGGTGGATGTTCCTTTGCTGGATGTTTTCAAGTGGAGGCTGGACGACCATCTTTTGGGTATGTTGTAGGGCTATCTTTTGGCTGTTCTCCTGCGGAGTGCAGGGGGTTGGACTAGATGACCTGCAAGGTCGCTTCCCACTCTAACATCCCATGATTCTATGATTACAGGCGGGGGCGGGAAATCCTCTGCCCAAAGCGGGGAGCTGCCTGCCTACAACTGTGCAGAGAGTCAAGTCCCAGTGGATCCAGGGAGGAGGCAGGATCAAGAAAGTAGCAGGTCTAAGCAAAAACATCAGTCTTACCCTTCTATGGAAATGCTCCGCTGTATGCTCACTGTGGGCGGCCGGGTGACCGTGCTGTGCTGCGAATGACTACAGAGTCGAGAAAGAAAATGGGAAGGGGGGGAAGAAAGGAAAACAAGATTAATGAAACCCACAGGCTCTTGTTGCTTTTCGAGCTTCTTGCACTTATCAAAGCTAGCCGCTATTAAAGGATGTCCAAAATACTGGCACTGCACAGGGAATGTGTGAAGTGATGCGCCTGCATGGTGAAGTATACTCAGGGTGGGGGGGGGGGGTTCGATATTTGAGGTTTGTATAACTGAGGAAGAGACAAGGCCCTCTTGGAACTGAATAAAGGCTTGCCTTCCAGGAGCAGGGAGGGCCATAGCACACGTAATATCCCAAGAGAAATCGGGGGCACTCATTTTTCCTCCCCCCTGCCTACATATCACCCCGTGGTATCGTGGCCTGATACAGCAGCACAAAATCTCAGTCAGTGGTGGGGTCCTCCTGGCTCTTCGAGTCGGGGCAGGTAGCCACTCAGGTACAACCGGTTGGGTAGCGAGGCTCGGCTGTGCCAGCAACAGCCACCACATTGCAAAATGCAGGGAAGGCGTCATCCCTGGACTGAGGCCAAAGTTGTTACAGTCAGTCCTCCCATAGTTAGGGTTACCAACTCTAGGCTGGGAAATCCCAGGGTTAGGGAGGAGGAAGGGACCTCAGAGGGCTGCAATATCATAGAGTTCAGCCGAGGTTCTCTGTAGCGTGGAGACCAGTCGTAATTCTGGGAGATCTCTGGGGCCCACCTGGTGGCTGGCAACCTACACATACTCCAGGCCAGAGTATAAACCTCCTGATTCCCTTGAATGTGACTGGAAAAGATCTGTTGGCTATATGGCAGACCTTGATGCAGTGCACAACCAGAGGTCGTTTCCTGTGGGAGCGCACAGGAGCGGAGCTCCGGCAGTAAGGAGCCCAGGGAGCGGGCACATGCAACAAGCCCCACCCCCCTGCTCCCAGCAGCCCTCAGTCAGAGGAAGAAGCAGCCAGGTAAGTTGCAGAGCCCCCCCCCCAGCCTGCCTTCAGGTACAAGCTCTCCCTCCTCTGTGAGGGCAGATCTGCATGTTCCCCCCCCCAATAGCTAGCAGTCCAAAACAGTCCAGTGGAGCCTGAGCGGTGGGCGTTGCCTTCTGACACACTTCTGGTGATGTCAGGGTGTGTGGCATATGCAAATGAGGTATGGTAATACTTTATGCTAATGAGCTCCTGCACCTCTTTTTCTACGAAATGACCCCTGTGCACAACACAGGATCAGCTGGTTGGGGGAGGAAGGGTGGGCCTCTGTGGGATACTCTATCTATCTATCTATCTATCTATCTATCTATCTATCTATCTATCTATCTATCTATCTATCTATCTATCGTCCTCTAGGCAATGGTCCACACATAAACTCCCATTGTACTCATTGGTACTCCCTGGACCCTGACTTTGAAGATAATGAATTAGCTCCTCACAGAATCTTTGACTTCAGCCAGTCAGACAAGAGCGAAGGTCTGAGTACTCTCCAAAGACCACTTGGGCACTCTTATGTACATAGTAGGGCTGCCAAGTGGGGGGCGAGTAAACCCCTGCTTTGGAGGCCCGATTTCCGCACAGCGTGGCTGTGTCACCAGAGGTGACGCAACCACGTCAATCACGTTGGGGGCGTGGCCCCGATCGTCGGAGGGAAAACTCTATGGTTTTCCCTCAGATGATCGGGGCCACGCCCTCAACGTGATCGACGTTGCGCGTCACTTCTGGTGACATGCTGGCAGCATGCGTGTGGTTTGCACGCGCGCACCACGAGGGACAGCTCCCGGAGCGTGGGGAGGCTCCCCCGCCAGTGAGTAACATTCACTTGGCAACCCTAGTACATAGGCAATCCCCATTAAATAAAACTAGGCTTGCAACCTAGGTAGGGCCTGGAAATCTCTCAGTATTACAACTGATCTCCAGATGACAGAGATCAATTTGCCTGGAGTTAACAGCTGTGCGGGAGGCTGGACTAGGGCATTATACCCAGCCGAGATCAACCCCCTCTCCCAACCCCAAGCTCCCCTGGTAAGGTTGGCAGGCTCCTCCTGGCAACTGGTGGGGGATGGGGGGGGACTCATCAGGAGCAGGAGGGAGGACCGGCTAAAATTGCAGTAATGTGTCTATGTCACTTCTGATGTGACCTGGAAGTGGTGTCATCACGCTGTGACGTCGAGGCAATGCTGTGGCATTTTGGGCAAAAGCTCTATTGTAAATTTGGCTTCTACCACAGAGGTTTTTGCCCAAATATCAGAGCATCACCCCGACATCACTGACATGATGATGTCACTTCCAGGTCATGTCAGAAATGACATAGACATGTAGCTGACTGGGCCTCCCTCTTTTTCTGGGTAGGTCCCCCCTGCCGGCGAGGTGGTGGGGCCTGGTGGTGGGGGACTTCTGCCTCCATCGGGGCGTCTGGGAACCTCACCCCCAGGTTGCACTTCAAAATTTCCAGGAATTCCCAAACCCGGAGATGGCAATTTTTAATTAAACGGAGAAGGGCCTTGTTAAACTGGTGGGCACTTTTGAAATTTTGAGCAAGTACTGGATGCCACAACAAAATGTCCGCCATGTGGGGTGGGACCAATCGCATAATGGTTGCCCTGAATCCACTAGCCATTAGGTCAGGAGTCCCCAAGGTGGAGTCCGTGGTTGCCATGGCACCCACACACACCTTTCCAGGCACCCACCAAGTGTTTTTACAAAACAAGTGGTGCCAGGCAGGGCTTTAGCCCAGCGGGGCTTCTGATTGGCCAGTGGAGATCTGATTGGCTGTTCAGATTGAAAGGCAACTTGCTAAACAGAACTTCTGCCTGAAAAGTTAGGCACATTGCAGTTACTATTAAAGTTACTATTTAAGTTAGGCACAACATTGCTCCCGGACGTTTGGTAGTAATCGGGGGCACTCATTTTTCCTCCCCCCTGCCTACATATCACCCCGTGGGATCATGGCCTGATACAGCAGCACAAAATCTCAGTCAGTGGTGGGGTCCTCCTGGCTCTCCGAGTTGGGGCAGGCAGCCACTCAAGTACAACCGGTTGGGTAGTGAGGCCCGGCTGTGCCAGCAACAGCCACCACATTTCTCTTGCTTAGTCTTTTCTCTTGCTTAGTCTTCCCTGGGAGCTGGATGAAGCAACTCATGCAGGGAAGGGGATTCAGTATCTGCAAGGGGGACCGCTGACCCAATGCTGGATCAGGATCAATGTTTCCAAAACTGGGGTTTAAAAATAAATTCAGCAACAAACACAAGGCTAGGGTTGCCAACCTCCAGGTGGGGCCTGGAGATCTCTCAGAATGACAACTGATCTCTAGACCACTGAGATCAGCTCCCCTCCAGAAAGTTCAAGCCACAAATGGACCCCAGTGACTAACCAAAGGTTGAACCCCACCAATGTTCACTGTGGGGGGGGGAAATGATTCTATTCCAATTACAGTTCCAATTGAGAGCCAGCTGATGCCGAAGGGAAACGTAAGATTAACTCTGAGTAGGAGGCTTAGGCCATCGGCTCCACGTATAAAAAAGCAACCTGATGAAGCACTGGGAGAAACGGAATATTTACCTAGGAAATCCGTAGTCGCACGACAATTGTCTGGAGGCAGCAGCAGCACTGCAGGACATAAAACAAAGGAACAAAAGAAGAAGCAAGTTTGTGGACAGTAACTGGGATAGAATCATTTTTTCCCACAGTGAACATTGGTGGGGTGCAACCCCTCTAGAAAGTCGCTTGCCAACTTGGGAGCCAGCCGGAACTCCGTTCCTGTGCGTTCCTGCCCAAAAATAGCCCTGACCCCACCAATGTTCACTGTGGGAAAAAAATGATTCTATTCCAATTACAGTTCCAACTGAGACCCAGCAGATGCCGAAGGGAAACATAAGATTAACTCTGAGTAGGAGGCTTAGGGCATCGGCTTCACGTATAAAAAAGCAACCTGACGAAGCATTGGGGGAAACGGAATATTTACCTAGGAAATCCGTAGTCGCACGACAATTGTCTGGAGGCGGCAGCAGCAGCAGCGGCACTGCAGGACGTAAAATAAAGGAACAAAAGAAGAAGCAAGTTTGTGGACAGTAACTGGAATAGAATCATTTTTTTCCAATAGTGAACATTGGTGGGGTGCAACCCCTCCAGAAAGTTGCTTCTATGGAGGGTGGACTCTGTGCCATTGCACTCTGCTGCGGTCATTCCTCTCCACAACCATTGTCCTCCCCAGCGTCCACCCTCAAATCTCCAGAAATTTCCTAACCCAGAGTTGACAACCCTACGGCAGGGCTGACTGGCACGATGCATATTAAAGCGGCTGGTCTCCTTTTTCTCCCCACCCTCAGCGGTACAGACGACATTGGCAAGTTCATTGAACGGAAACAGAAATGGTAAAGTTGGCCAATGAGACAGAGCGGGCAGTTCGGACAGTCAACACAGATACTTGACGCAACGCCAGCCAAACACAGTTCGGTTTCACAACTCATCCAAGAGAACCAGCAGTGTCCGCCTGATGGCTTGACGGGTGCTTCTGGCCCCTGTTGCCACTGGGGAAAGCCACAGAGGAGGTTCACTCCCCCCTCCCAGGCTGTGAAACGGCATCCAGAAAAGAGCTGTTGAATCTTAACTCACCCAATCCAAAGAGGCTGACGGAAGCCTACTGGGGAGCCATACCAGCAATTCAGACCTCACACATGAAACACCGTCAGCTCTTACACATGCTCAGAATACATGCAAACCAAAGAGCCTGACGTCTACACCTATGGCATATATTTCTGGTGAGCGACCCAGATCTCTGTCCCCAATCCTAGACCTTTGGGTGAACCTTTTCTTGTAATCATGGACAGTTCCATATGCAGAGGTCACGTGCCTCCCCTTTCCAGTGCTCTGACACAGGAGTTAGGGTTGCCAAACCCCCCAGTTTGCCAGGGGTCCCCCGTTTTTTGGGGGGGTTCTACCCGTCGCCAGCCAGATGGCCAGCGGGGGAAGCCCCACCACCAACACCCACAGCCACCCCTCTCTCCCCCTTTAAG